GATTACAGATACCTTTCGGCTTGGAACAAAAAGCTAAAATAAACTCTACTTCCTTAGCATCATTTGTCCATGTAAACATCCAACAAGACTTGAGCCTGCCAGGCCCATACCACACCAGGAGCTTAGGGAGAGACCTCTGCTCAGATACTCTGCTTTCTGTCATAGCACATTATGCCTCTTCAAGCTACTTGCTTTCTAGTCTTCACATCAAAAGAGGCTGTTTCATGAAACATATTCAACAGTCATGAGATGGAGCTAAAGGCTTTTCTCTACTCATTGGTTTTCTCTGTGTGACTTCTTCAAACGAAAACCTTCCATACTCCTTTTTAACTGCTTGCATGTTGAAAAAATTTAGAGGAAAATCTGGATTTTTTTTCCATGCAGCTGAAAGAAAACATATTCCCTGGATGACAAGTTAACACTCTTTTTTTTTTTTTTTTTTTTTTTTTTTTTTCAAAAAAAGCTAGTCTGGAAGAACCCTGAGCCCTGCTTCAGACAGTTTTCCCCATAATGACTCCTGGTCCTCTGGAGAATGCCTGGGTTTGAACTAATCCAGGATATTCCCTTACCCAACTGCAGCATCCCAGGGGCAGGACACTGCAAGAGGCATTGTGTTTACAGGCACCATTTGGCACAGCTTTTCTCTCCACTTTTCTCCAAGAGTGGGCTGTAAAGAAATTAAGTGGCATGGTGAAGAGAAATGCAGCTGATGTTTTCAGCCTGCTTTATTTCTTTAGCAACTGTTTATGTTAATGACAACCTGCAGAGTCCGTTTGCTCTCTGTCACGGGTGGAGAACGCACTGGAGGTGAGTGTTTTACATAATGTTTATGCAGGCCATATTTTTTTTTTTTTTCATGATGTACAATATGTAGAACGCTGCTATTAGTTTCCAAAAATGTGCGGTACATGCAGCTGCCACCTAGACCAGGAGGCCAGCTGGAAACATACCCCAGTAGCTCCAGCCGGGGAAGCTGTCGGGTACATGCAGGGGAAAAAAACCTAGAACACCGTGGAGTAGTGGAACATGAGTCATCAGCACTGCTTTTGTGTACATAGAGGCAGGAGGCAAAAGTCTAGGTGAGACGAGGAACAGCAAGAAGCGGGTTTACCCAGGGCAGAAGTTAACATCTGAGTAGTAAGAGAGCCATAGGACAGCTGGGTCTTCTGTCTTACAATCTGGCCAACTTGCTAAGACTTGCACCGTATGAGACATTTGGAAATGATCTAGGACCAACTTGGTTATGTATTTACATGTATAAACATATAAATATGTATATACAGAAGGCACATATACATATATAGATGTTGATCTATAGCCTATATCTAAATATATTTTTACATAGTCTGTATATGCAGTTTGTGACTTCTCTTTCGAAACCTTAGTGTGGGCTTAAGTTGAGGAACTGCTTCTGGCATGTTGTTCAGAGAGTGATTAGACAAATTCATAGGGAAAAAAAAAAAAACAAAAAACAAAAAAACAACTGTTCAGGACTGCTAAATACAAAGTTACCACCTGTAATTTAGGAAGTCTGGGAGATGCAGCTCTTGAGTTGACAGCAGACACGAATTAGCAGTTGAGAGATTGTTTTACTTGCCCTGATCTTATTCTTTCTCCTGGTGCCACTGGTCACTGCATTGACAACTCTTAGGGCTGGTACTTGACCTCTGAAACTACTTCACAGTATCATCCCCACCAGGCAAAAAAGAGGCAAAAATCAGCAGATAAACCAGAAGTGTTGAGGGGTAATAACCAAAAATAGAGAAAGGGAAGAGACCACAAAATATTCTGGCCATGTGGACACAGCACACAGAGCTCCTTGGACTTCAGCTCTTACCTGGTTGTCTGTCCTCATGTTTTCTGTAACGTTTCCAATGTTTAACTGTAAATCACTGAGTCCCTTACTGCAACGTTTCCTAATCAAGCTTTCCTTCTGTTTCCCTGCAACAACAGTCTGGTGTCAGTGAGCGGGTAAAGCAGAGCTTAAGGAGAGCAAAGAGAGCAGACAGTCTGGCGGGACCAGGGAGCCTGGCAGTGCGTTCTGCTGCTGCAGAGCACAAAGGTGAGGGCTGCTGCCACCCTTTCACATCTCCTGCCCCCCTCCCTGGGCATGAAAAAGACCCTGTTACAGGTTCAGGGAAAGCCTGAGATGGCACGTATCAGCCCTTACGTTAGCGTTTTTAAGTTGTCGTATTTATCCCGTGTTCACTCATATTTTTTAAGTGAGCAAATAATACTCATTTTTTTTTTTTTCTTTTGATTCCACTCTTCTCTACCTCTTTTGTTCCTGAACAGCTCCTACATGCTGTTCTACATGGGAGGGATTCACTACTGGGAGTTAATTGCAAGCATCTTCCTGCAGGGATTTGCTATGTGAAACCTTGTACTGTGTTGGTTGGTTTTTAACTGGACACATGCGGTATGGCATGGGCTGTGTCAGTGTCCCTAAGCGAGTCTGTGAAACTATTACAATTGCCTCACTGGCAGGAATTATAACATTTTCAGATTCAAAAATTGACATAAATGAGCTATTTATTCTGACATCTTTGCCAGCAAACCACACTGCTGGATTCTTTCCAGAAAGCAAACAGAAAAAGGGCATCTGTGCATTCAGAGTGAACTCATTTATTATCTGAATTAGTATTGGTGGAAGACATTTTACACTTGAGTTACTGCGAATTTTTTGGTTTTATCTGGGGCTCCCTGACTTTTTGCTTTTGGCTATATTTCCACCGAGAGACATGGGAGCCTGACAATCAGAAGAGTTGAACCATCATGCCCTCATTTTCATCAGTTATGAAATGCTTTATTTGAGTTCTAGTAAGCTGGGAAGGTTCAGTAACAAGTGAACACCCCTGTATAATTAATTATTTTGCCTACCCTGAAATATAAACTGGAAGGCTGCCTTTATGCCTAGGAAAAGTGCTTTTTTTTTTGTGTGGTTTTTTTTGTTTGGTTGGTTGGTTGGTTTTATTTTTATTTTTTCCTGTAGTGTGGTTACAATTTGAACTTGTGCTCATTTTATAAAGTGGTAGCAGATACTCTGAATGCAAACCAGCCATTGCTGACAGGAGCTGGCATGTACTGTGACCCCATGAGCAAACAATAAAATTTTACTGCTATGTCCATATATTGCTGAAGAGAATATGAGCTATCTGTAAAAGTGGAAAAATCCAGGTATTTCAGTGGGACTAGTAATAACTTGAAGCATTTATCTTCAGTCATTGTTAAAAAAACATAGCTGGACTATAGTGCAAGTGAATTTGATCAAAAGACACATCGTTAGCTTATAGTGAAATGATTTGGTCTCTACTTATTTCTGCCTTGACTACATCATTACTGATTTTTTTTTTTTTTTCATTATTCCCATTCTTTACATTGTCATGTAATTTTCAAGGCAGAGTGCACTCCATTAATTTATCCCCCTCTCACTATCATAGCTGTGGAAACACATTTTCAGCATTTAGCCATCTCTGCCGTTTGAGACGATTCTCCTTCTGCAAACACACTGACACCGAACCAGTCTGCTGTGATTTTCCAGGTTTCCAGCAGGGAGCCCAAGGGCCGACCAGCTCTCCCAGCAAAACCATCATCTCCTCCCCACAAGGAATCGACTGAAAAAAAAACAAAAAAAAAAAAAAAAAACCAAAAAAAAAACCTAAACCATCATCTGCTAGGTGGATGAGCCAGGCTGTGCCTGTTGTGCGGGCACAAGACCTTTATTTTTTTTTCTCCAAAGGGGCTCTGGCACATGGTGCAGTGCTTTGCAGGGTCACTGCTCAGGGCAATCTCTGGCTGGGACACCTTCATGCTTGTTTTTGTCTCTTCCAGTGCTCCCTCATCTGGCAGCAGTTGTGGTCAAGCTCTTGCTCCGTGGGCACCTCCAGGAAATCCCAGTTGGACTGGCCACCAGGTAACGTGGTCCCTGTCATTCCACTTTTGCCTCTGGCATAGTCGTAGCCCTTGCAATCTTTACTGAAAAATCCAGTGAGGATTGAGGCAATGCTAGGGGGAAAACACGACAGTAAATCATTGTATTGTGTTTATAAAACCTTAGGTAAGTGAGGGCAAATTTTCTATGTTGTCTAAGTAAAGAAAGCACACTACCATCTTAGGCATTTTGTTTTATTCAGTGTCCTTTTCCCATCTCAGTGTCATTTGATTCTGACCTTTATACCAGGGAAATAACCAAAAAGCTTTCTCTGTGTATATCCCTCCATAAGCTAACAACCTCTATGAGCAGTTAGGTAGGAGACCAGACAGATTGCCCTGGAGCAGTAATTAATGCAGAGCATTTACTGACATTACATCACATCAAAACCAATTACACTTCCATTACACTCATCTACTATACCCCTACCTGCGTATGTGCCTGTTGAATCCAGTCCATATTTAATTTGGGAGTGGATTAGCTAATGAGGTGGTAGAATCAGTTACTAGCCTGGCAGCAAGGCAATGAAAGCCATCCAGCAAACACTTTCTGAAGTTTTCTCTGAAGCGTAGCAAAGAAAAAATAAACTGGAACAGAAATAAACTGGAGCAGGCTCTCTCATTAATCCAGTTTCCCTCAGGAATGGTCTGACCACAGTTCCCTCATGCTGCGAATTTTCTTCTCTTTCTTTTATCTCACGGCAGCGTGGGGTGATTGAAAGAATAGCTATTGAGCAAAAAGCATTTGTGCAATAAGTATTCCAGAATAGAGAGGTTTACATCTGCACAAACTAACTCCAGAAAAATCCACTTTCATCAAACAGTAAATATTCTGGCATCAAAGTGATGCTCCAGAAATATTCTACTAGTGGAATTATTCTGGAATAATTCTAATGCTGTATCTCCGTTTCCAGCTCTGCTCATGCAGTTTTTACATGGGGACAGAAACGGAGCTTGCAAAATTCATAGCAGAGCAATCATGAGCGGCATCAAGCAGATCTGCGTCCCACTTGCTGGAAAAGAGCACGCAGTGGCAGTTAAAAATGAAGCTCAGAGGCCCCAGCAGGGAGAGGAGTTGGTAATGTGTTAGGGAGGAAAGGATACTCAGTGCTAGCAGGGAGAGAACAGAAATGAGCCTGGGTCCCCCTGGGACAAACAGAGGAGGAGGGGTGGTGGATCCCCCCACAGCAGATTGAGCTCTGAAGGCTTCCTGGTGCCTCAGGTATGTGATGAACTTGTTTTGAAGAGCTCAGTGTGCAGGACCAGCAGCTCCAACGCTGTCAGAGCTCGCCCACCGAGCCGCGTTAAAGGCGAGAGGGATAGCAGAGCTGTGGAGAGCTGCAGTGTGGGACGGTTTCGTGGTGGTTTACGCCAGCATCTCTTCATGAGTCAAGAGGACTGAGCAGGCTTGCAGGGGCTGAGCGTATTTGGGACAGGGAGTACTCTAGGACTTTTCTGTTATGAAGCTGTGTGTCATTAGGAAGTGAATTTTGAAACTACTTATAAAGTAGCAAAACTAGGAAGTCTGTGTTTTGACAGCAATGCTTATGAATTCCACGGACTGAGAGAGGAGGGAAGAAAGAGGGTGGTGTGGGTGCTGTTACCTCACCGATATTTTATTTGCTGCTTAGTGTTACTCATACACTTTTTTTTCTTACCAGGCTGATGTTGGTGCCTGGTTTTTTGAACAGTGACAACTGTTAGCTGCAGCTGTATCTAAAATGCACAGTCAAGGGATTGGTTGATACTCTGCCTTTTTAAAAATGACAGCTGATGTTAATAGCTTGTAGCTTTCAATCACTAAGAGAAGAGCAAACAAAACCTTTTCTGCTAATAACGTTTATACAAGTCCTAAGGCAGACTATTTTATCCTTTGCTACAGTCAAGATAAAATAAACTAAACCAAACTGTCCAAAGAAGGGAAGAATGAAAGAGTTTTCATTCGGGGCTCTTCCCTCCTATTCTCCACCCCCTATTCTCTGCAACAAAAAGCTGATTGAATTGTGAAAGATGGGCAATCCAGCATCACAGATTACAAGGAAATGCAGCATGTTCACTTGCTTTATCAGGAGACAGAACTGCCTCCTAGTTGTAGCTTCAGCTAGCCCTTTCAGAGCCCTGTTAGCAGCAGCCTGGCTGAGCATGGCATCTTGACAGGGCGAGGCTGATCCTTATTGTTTTGCTATTGCTTTTGATTCAAGCTGCTGTCATGCTGCTGTTTGGCTGCTTTGAGGGGTAGGGTGCAAGGGTCGTGTTTTCAATTTGAGGACCTTTTCATGGTGAAGTTGCATGCAGGTTCACCGATGAGGATTTAAATGAGTGGAAGTCACAAAATTAAGAGATTGAAATTACAACCCCCACACCTCTGTGAAGTCAGCCACAAATTCAAACCATGGCAGGAAATGATGGGAAGAGGAAAACGAGAGTCACTTCAGCACAGAGTTTAGTCCCATATATTTTTCATTACATGAAATCTGTATTTTGCTTTATAGACTAATACAACTTGCTGAGGGATGAGTATCTTCTGTTTCTGATGTAATGCTTTTAGCTCTTCAGCTCTAACATCGTACTGAATTTTTGTTTTATTTCAAAGTAAGGTGCATAGGAAGGAGCAAATAGGGGTGTGTGTGTGTGTGGTGCTCCTCAGTAAACTATGGTTATATTAATTTTGCATTTTGCAAATATCATGTGGCTATCTGAGGCAATTTTATTCATGGTATCTCATGGACTGTCCACAGAATCGTGCAGTTCTTCAGCTACATGATTAATCTACTGTGTGTCTCAATTTATAATAGCTAGACTGCTGCCAGTACCTGGGCTAGGCGGTTTAGAGGTCATCTGAGATATGTTATAGTCCATACCAGTGTAGGTGTGCAGTAAATGGTTGGTGACTGAATCACAGTGCAGTATTGGCCAACAAAAGCAGTAATAAAGGGATTTGGCAGTAGAATAGAAATGACAATATGAGTTTTGGATACTGCAGATTTCTAAGATGCTGGAGAAACAGCAGCCACAGCTATTAGCAACAATCTAAATACAAGACTGTAGGAGTGGGAAAAGAGCAGACAGCACAGAAGCTTCTGCTGTTATTAATCATCATAGAGACGGAACAGGGAAGACAGGGCGTTCGGGATCTGGCTTGTTAGATTTGAACACATGGAGGAACTTGGAGCTGTGACAGTCTGGGAGGGCACCCTGCCACTGTGTGCCTTACACTTTGCCCTTCCAAGGTCATATTTAAAGCTCTAGTGGATGCATGCACTTGCTGGGAAGCCAGCAAGATTTAAAGGCAGTCTAAAAACATTCAAGCTGCCCTCAGCCCTGCCTCTGACTGGCCCGTGTGCCCAGAACATCACCAAGCAACTTGGGGTGGTACACAGGGCTTTTTAATGCAAGACATTTTAGCACAGTCCAAAGATGCTGTCACGACACATGCCAGCAGTGATTCACTGCCTCTCATCTACCACGTGATTAACCCCCCTCTCATTCATTCTCTCTAATTTTTACTTCTTTTTTTTTAGAAATCATCATGTTCTCATCTTTTCCCATATAAAACCGTCAACTTGTCAAGAGAGGAGCTGGAAAAAATTCCTCTCCTTTTCACCTTGTCTGGCTTCTTTCAAACTGAGCTATGCAAAGCTCTAGTGCAGCCTGACAAGTCCTAACTGCTGAGATTTCACAGACGCTGGGGGAACGGTGGTGGGAGGGAACAGGGGAATTGTTCCTGCAAGGGCTTTGCTGCAAGCTACTGCGCTCTGCAGGGGCTCCCACAGACACCTTGCGATTGAAGGAGGGCAGGCAGCTAAAATGGAGCAGACGGAGTCACACTCAACAGGAAAGCAATGGAAGTAGGAATAGAAAAATATGATGATGAATCTTCAGTTTCAGCGTGAGAAAAGCTGCTGATTGAAACAGCCAGGAAAAGTGGAAACTCCTTTCTATAATGAGGCTTGCCCCTGGAAAGGAAGCAGAGGGTCCTGAGCCATTATGTGATAAGTTTTATTTTGAAGCAGGGGACTTATTTTACAAACTGAAACTGGATTGAAGGATTACTGTGTTACAAGCAGGCCATCTGTCCATAACTGTATTAGACATAATAATGTTCTTTTCTTCACAGCTATTAATACCATGGCTCCAGTTGGCCTGTTCCTCTGCATTGTCTGCCTGGATGTGCCTGGTAAACAGGCAGTGGAAGAAACTGCTATATTCCTAAGACAAAAACATTGTTCTGATTATAAAAACTCACACTGCAGAGATAGTGAAGAGAAGGGAGCATCCCTCTTCTGCCATGAATTATGCAAAACCCCGGGAGCGGGAAAGTTTAGTAGGTCAGTGTTCAGCGGCAGATCTGGACCTCTTTATACCAGGGGTGTCATTCTGACATTCACTGCATGACAAAGGCACTAGGCCAGGACAGTGCTGTGTTCTTACTTTACCCTTTTATATAATTTAGACAATTCTTAGTGGAGAGATTTGGAGAGGCATTCCTGATTTGTTAGTTTCTTGTGGAGGTCTGTAGTTTCCTGCCAGGTCCAATTATAACTGTTGGCATATTTAGGAAGAAAGATAATATATTATGGGTTACACAAGCGGAGCGGGGAGCACAGACATGATGAAAAGTGAGATCTGCAGAAAGCAATCAGCCTTTGTAACAGCAAAATTTCAGTTTATTTGCCTCTGATTGTGATACCTTTTGTTTTTGCAGGAGTTGTAAGTGGCATATAATCATCAGAATACACAGGGTTGCAAATACTCTGTGATCATATTGTGACTTTCTTCTGCCACCATCTGGAACAGCAATTGAGTTTACAGCTGGAAAAATATCTCTCTCCTTGTCTTTTTTCTCAGTTGTTACCTTTCCAGATGGCAGATAACAGCCAAATTTCTCTTCAGTAGTGGTAAAGCTCTGTTTCTTAATCAGGAGCTCCTGTAGGAGCTCTTTTTTTCTCCTAAATTATACCAGATTCCCTGCAGGAATGCACTCAGGAACCACCGTGGTGGTCCAGAGATCCTTTGCAGTTTTCTGACAAACGTGTACCCAACCTTTATGTCACTGAATGAGCAGCCATCAAGGGTACTGGTTATGAGTTTTCATCAGCTACAGTTTCTTCTCCTCCAGGTTTGGCTTCCCAGGTGGACACCACCTTCCCTTTCTTTTATCTGCAGCATGCTTATCCCCAGGTCCTGAGCTCTGGTTGTCATTTGCCAGGAGCTCAGAGCTTCTGGAACTTCTGGTGGCAAGGCAAGACTTGTGGAAGAAACACTTCTTCCATCAGCTTCGCACAGAAAAGAACATCCCTTCTGGCAGCCACCCAGCTCCTGCAAGCTGGATATGACAGAAAGGTCACAGTTTCAGGCTCTTCGGAAAGCCTTTCCTCTCTTTCTATTTGAACCATTCGCCTTTGAATAACAGAGCTCTGAGCTGAAGGAACAACTTGTCATATAGTGATCTGCAGCAGCACCACCCTCGGTCCCCTTTGCAGGCTCTGCGAAGCAGTGGGAGGCTTTGAGTATACTGTACCTCATCCAAAAGGAGTCACTGAAAAGGTTCAGAGGGCTGCTACTCTGGAAGTGCCTATGCCTTCTCTACTGGCTGCAGAGTGAGCCTGACGTACCTAGCTCATCTCCAGAAGTCCACGTTGTAGACAGTTGCAATTAGGTGAGAGAAAGTCAGTCGCCCTTCTAGTCTAGACACTGGTTTGTCTTTCAAGGGATTGAATATATTATGTCTACAGTATATTCCTCCGTGCTAGCTCTGCATTCCATACAGTCCTCGTTAATCTTTATTCAAGATCATAATCATAACCTCCTGTGTTAACCTCACAGGTCTGGAGGAATGTAAGCCTATGTTCAGGGAAGTTACTGCCCTAACCGCTACCTCACGCTGAGCTGCAGCAAAGCGGCTCCCTGCCCCTGGTACCTACCTGGGGGAGCACAGAGGAGTCAGAGGGAGCTGAGCCCAGCTGACCAGGGCTGCTGCTCTTCAGGGAAGGGGCTGAGGCTCAGTGGGAGCAGTGGCTAAAAGGAGCCTGCCAGGAGCAACTGCAGGGGCAAGGAGAGCAGCTGGTGCTTTGAGGAGGTATTTGAGGCCAGGCATAGAGTACCATGAGGATGGGAACACCAAACAGCACGCTAGGGCAAATAGCTTTAGGCAGTTTATGTCTTCTTGCTCCCTTCTGCCTGGCCTTTGTCTTCAACTGAGACACTCTCATCAGTTCTTAA